CACAGACTAACGACAGTCGTAGCGCTACGATCGCTTTGTGGAACGGAGCCCTGGGCCCCGTTCCTCAAAGCGATCTTAGCGCTACGATGATCGTAACCATATGTTAAAGTAGGGGACTTACGATTACCTTAGTGCTAAGATCGCTTTGTGGAACGGGGCCCTGATCTGTTTCTAAGTGAGACCATCACAGTTTCCCACTTGTTTTATTTCTCTAATGTGACCATTTAAGCAGATAATCAGGATTAGATGTGACCTGATTACAGATCTATCACCCCAGGTCATTCGGAGTAATTTCGTGTAATAAAACTAACGATTATTTAATGAGGAGGGACATTTGTATCTTGACCAAATTATTCTACAGGCCGTAGAGATTGATACAGGGTCAATTATCGGAATTAATTCTTTTGAAAGTGAACATTAATATTGTCTAAGTTTTCTCAAGACGAGGTCGCGTGACTGAGACCCTGGTTGGTACTAGGTGTCTACTTGTGAGTTTTCCGAGAATATTTAGAACACAGTTGATATAACGCTCCATCGTGTGAGGATTGTCAGGGAAACGTGACAAACGAAACAATAGCCTTACTACTTTATAACACAGTGGCTTTTGCTTGGTAATATTATCTCAATTAAATGTCTTCAAGATAAGTAATACCCAGCCCTCTCTGCATAAGGACCAGCACTGAGTCTGTTAATGGAATGTCATTTTGTAACTTGAAACTCCACAATCTCTGCTCAGATCCGAGCACATTCTGACCACTGGAGGATATATTATTAATGCAATGTTGTACCAGTACTTGTTGTACCAGTGCTACTGCAAAAGTCATTCTCTTACTTAAAAAAATGTGCTATCAATATTCCAAAGGCGTCATGATTTTTTTCAATTTTTTGAAAGGGTGGTCAATTATATGATCATTTTAGGACTTTTTAATTTGAATGTATATAGTGAGGCGGGCGGGACCCGAGAAGAGGTTCGAGATATCGGTACATTCGAGATAACAGAGTTCGAAATAACGAGGTTTGACTGTTATATATAGACATAAGTTGATGACATAAATGAATTACTTTCACAGACATCACCGATATAACGGGATCGGGTGGTCAGGCTCCTTGACGTGGTTGATGCATGTCATCGTATCCCATTTGCGTGGGTCGATGCTCATGATGTCAATCACTGGATTGTCTGGTCCAGACTGGATTATTTACAGATCGCCGTCATACAGCTGGAATTTTGCTGAGTGTCCTGTTAAACAACAAGGACAGTGCTAAAATTGCTATTTTAATCTATCCATAAGTAAAAAATTGCTATTTTATCAATAATATTTTAGAAATATAGAACTCCAATGTATGGATGTAAAATAGTTTTAATGATGTTTTGAAATGACAAGTACCCTTTAGCAATTAGATTCTTGCCCATGTGTATGGATATGATGTAATTGACAGTTTGTCCACAATGTCATCTGAAGGAGAAATAATAGCTGTGTCTTAACACTAAATGGATACTTGCAGTCTGGAATTACAAAATATAGACAAGAAAAATACGACTTTCATAGCTACAGAGACGTTAACTATTAATTGTATGTCGATGGAGGGAATGAATAGACAGTGTCGTCTGCTCACTCAAGAAGATATATGTCGTCTGCTATCACATCTGGCATTGATCGGAAGTGTTATCAGATCGAGGCCAAGAAAGTACGGAAAAGTCGGGTATCGTGGAAAAAACAATCTCTCAAATGTTAGCTGAACGGGAGAATGTGTGTGTGTTTTGTTTAGCCATCTGTTGTGTATGTAGCCTGGTATGCAAGGTTTAATTACAGCCTGTTTCCATTCACATTTAATGGGCAGATAAACATTTCCGAGGTGTGTGATAGTTTGGTGTTTTTCTTGAACATAGACTACATTTCTGCCGGTGATTGAACAGGGAAAAAGTGTACGAAACCTTTTCACAATCCCCCTGCCAGTTGTGTCCTGTAAGGACAGTTTCCGTCATCAGAAATGTTTGCCCAGAATATGATGATTGTGTTTCTGTATCCACTAATGGACAACAACCCTAGCCTTGCTCCAAGGCTGCTTTGGGTGAGTCCATTGGTGTATGGTAATTCTATCCTTATCATAAGCAAGTCTAGATAAGTGGAAGGACTCTAGTCTCTTATAGGGACACCTTGTTCTTATTATTTATATAATCAAGAAATCACGATTTAAACTAATAATTATAGCTTTAGAGATTTGTACTTAACTTGTCTAAAACAGCCCTGTCGAAGGAGTAACAAAAACGTTTGTTCACAAGAACTATGGGTTCTTTTCCGACAGTTCTTGAAAGCGTGAGTGAATTATGTTTTATGCCGCAATCAGCAATATTCCAGTTAGTTCACTGTGGCCTGTGAATAATCGAATCTGGGACAGGCAAACCGGTGACCAGAATCAAAACTAACGGGGCACGATGACACAATAAGCCGATCTTAGTTTATTCACCCAATCCTCTTTCATCGATTAGGAGGACCGCCTCCTTGGTCTAGTGGTAGAGCATCCGCCCGGAGAGCAGAAGGTCCGATCCACGGCCGCGTCATACCAATAGACGTTAAAAGATGGTACTTGTTGTTACCCTGTGTGGCGCTCCGCATTAAGGGTCTAAAACAAGGACAGGTCGGCTCGGAGTCAGTATACTGTGTCTGAGTGGGGTATTCATGTTAAACTGCGGCATGGTATCTCAGTGTGCTAACACTGTAAATCGGCATCAGTCCTGACAAGTACAAGCAGCCACACACACACGTCGCTATATAAGTGTAATAATCTTGGACGCGACGTTAAACCCCATGCCACCTCACCTCATCGTTCAGGCAATCATGGACCCTCTCCGCCCGTCACTCCCCACAGAGCTAACTCCTCTAGAACCACAAGGTTTATGAGCTTAGGATAGAAGCTGATTCTAACAGCAGTGGCAAGAAACGTGCTTACTAAATTGTAATCCGATATATCACGACAGCCGCGAGAGTGATTTATAACAGTAAACTGTGTGGATGTGTCAAGATACGTATAAACAATTGTTCTGAGTTGTTTCCCAGCATCCAGGTGAGCTTTACATCATCACGTGTGTGTATCTGGCTTGTGTAGTTGATATGTACTTGAGGATGTTACGCAAACCTGAACGTTTCCCTAATAAAAGCAAGTCACAAATTTCATTTTCAAATATGGCCATTATGTTCGTGATATACGTGCATTGATGCCATTAAAATAAATACAAAAAAATTATGGAGGCTTTACTGCGGATAACTGTTGTTGTTGCGTGCACAGTGTTGTTTGCCATTACGTGCAGTATACGTTGCACAAAATATGAATTATCGGTCTGTTTGATCAAGACTCGATTTTATTCTATTTGCGGTATACACTCGTCCTCCCATTACACTTATTAGTGTACAGTCGTCTTTTAACTAAATCGTTAGTGTACAATAGTTGTCTCATTACATTGTTGTGTACAATCGTCTTCTCACTACACGTGTTAGTGTACAATCGTCTTCTCACTACACGTGTTAGTGTACAATCGTCTTCTCACTACACGTGTTAGTGTACAATCGTCTTCTCACTACACGTGTTAGTGTACAATCTTCTTCTTACTACACGTGTTAGTGTACAATCGTCTTCTCACTACACGTATTAGTGTACAATCGTCTTCTCACTACACGTATTAGTGTAAATTCGTCTTCTCACTACACGTGTTAGTGTACAATCGTCTTCTCACTACACGTGTTAGCGTACATTCGTCTTCTCACTACACGTGTTAGTGTACAATCGTCTTCTCACTACACGTGTTAGTGTACAATCGTCTTCTCACTACACGTGTTAGCGTACATCCGTCTTCTCACTACACGTGTTAGTGTACAATCGTCTTCTCACTACACGTGTTAGTGTACATTCGTCTTCTCACTACACATGTTAGTGTACAATCTTCTTCTCGATACACGTGTTAGTGTACAATCGTCTTCTCACTTCACGTGTTAGTGTGCAATCGTCTTCTCACTACACGTGTTAGTGTACTATCGTCTTCTCACTACACGTGTTAGTGTACAATCGTCTTCTCACTACACGTGTTAGTGTACAATCGTCTTCTCACTACGCGTGTTAGTGTACAATCGTCTTCTCACTACACGTGTTAGTGTGCAATCGTCTTCTCACTACACATGTTAGTGTACAATGGTCTCCTCACTACACGTGTTAGTGTAAAATCGTCTTCTCACTACAGCGTAAGTGTACAATCGTCGTCTCACTACAGCGTAAGTGTACAATCGTCTTCTCACTACAACGTAAGTGTACAATCTTCTTCTCACTACACGTGTTAGTGTACAATCGTCTTCTCAATACAACGTAAGTGTACAATCGTCTTCTCACTACAACGTAAGTGTACAATCGTCTTCTCGCCACAGCGTAAGTGTACAATCGTTTTCTCACTACACGTGCTAGTGCACAATCGTCTTCTCCCTATACCCGTTAGTGTACAATCGTCATATCACCGGACGTATTCGTGAACAATCGTCCTCTCGTTACACACTTCAGTGCACAATCATCCTCTCACTCAATTCTGTCAATATGTAGGTTGATGATGATTGTTTGATAACAATGTCCCATCATGTGGCGTCACACCAAGATAACATGACAGCCGTACTTACTTGAGACAAGATTGTTATCCAGATTTCATTCGTACTGGATTGTGACTTTCTTTTATCAATTTCAGGGGTTGTGGGGTAGCCTAGTGGTTAAAGCGTTCGCTCGTTACACCGAAGACCCGGGTTCGATTCTCAACATGGGTAAAATTTCTGGTGATCCCCGCAGTGATATTGCTGGAATACTGTTACACGCGGCGTAAAACTACACACACTCACTCACTTTACCAACTCCATATGGATACTGCTGCCCCAAACCTGTGTATCACATCACAGGACAAAGTGTCTATATTATATATAAATATTTATTTATTGAACTATTAACTCAACTATTATCTCATGTTGCAGGAGGCACCCCTGAGACAGTCCTTCGGAACCACGCCCAACTAAATCTGTACTTCAGCTGTTTTCGACGGTAACTGACATGGTACGGTTGAGAATATTTTTGTTGATCTTGGTGAAACATTAAAGAACACATGTAACTGATTGTGTTCATCTCATTCAGTTTCTAGTTCTAATCAAGTGGGGTCATGGGTGGTCATGTCGACTAAGGCACCGAAATTCGCTGTGCAGAGTTGGACACGCCAGAAACCTATGGCTGTGGGTTCGAATCCCGGTTCGCCTCGATTATGTTTCTAGGTTTGTCAGCACCATACCCGTGCTCGTGGGTTTCACCGAAGTGGTAAACGTCTACGACCTGCATCACTTCGCGCTTTTCTCCCACATAAAACTTGAATAGTGTTAAAAGTCGTGTTGGACCCAGCTCACTACAATCAAGTTGATAATAACTGCAAGTAGAGTTCACAGCATAGATAGTTGAGACAAATCCCACGAATATATTTCTGTTTCCAGACAGAAGCCACTCACCGGAAGTCAAGCCAAATGGGCAAGGAGGACGTGCTCCAGAACGGTTTCCAAGGTTACAAGGAGGGATACGAAACACTCTCCCAGAATAAGTGGATGCTGAAGCTCCGCCATGTTCTGCAAACAACCATCTGCCCTCTGTTGCTTACCCTCACCACCCCAAATTTCGTCATCATCCTGTGGTATACAGCAGTGCACTCCGATGGCAGTTACAGCAAGATGGCGAACGTCTTCCAGGGCAGATCCATCCTGGGAGGTCTGCTGTACATGTGGAGTCAAGTCCGACCCCACAGCACTGTGATTTCTGCAATACTTGTCGTATACAGCATATATGCTCTCGTCACGATGAAGCTCCTCCCAGGCAAGACTGTGTATGGACCTTTGACCCCCAAGGGCAATGTACCCGTGTATAAGGATAACGGCTTCACGTTTTTCATCCTCACTATGGTGCTATTTGTTGCGATTACAGCATTCCTGAAGCAACTTGGTATGACCCCAACAATAATATACGACCAGTTTGACACGGTACTATCAACCCTGAATATTTTCAGCCTTGTATTTTGTTTATTCCTATACGTAAAGGGCATAGTTTCCCCCTCCTCGACTGACTGTGGGGCAACAGGTAATTTCATTTTTGACTATTACTGGGGAACGGAATTATACCCAAGAATCTTTGGCTATGATATTAAGGTTTTTACCAACTGTCGGTTTGGTTTGATGGTCTGGGCTCTTTTGGTGTCGATATTCGCCCTTAAAAGTTACGAGTTGCACGGATTTGTTGACAGTATGTTTGTGTGCTGCACACTCCAACTTGTTTACCTGGCCAAATTCTTCTGGTGGGAGGCTGGATACATGAGGACCATTGACATCATGCTTGACCGAGCTGGCTACTACATCTGCTGGGGCTGCCTGGTGTTTGTGCCAGGGTTCTACACGTCGGTAAGCCTCTACCTCGTCAACCAGCCCGTCATTCTCGGACCGTGGCTGACAACGTTCTTCCTCACATGTGGTATGCTCTCCATCTACATCAACTACGACGCCGACAACCAGAAACAGGCAGTGCGGGGCGCTGACGGCAACTGCGTTATCTGGGGGCGCAAGGCCGAGGTAATTCGTGCAAAGTATCAACTTGAGAGTGGAGAAGAACGGGAGAGCATCCTCCTTGCATCCGGCTGGTGGGGCTTCTCCAGGCACTTTCACTACATCCCCGAGATCCTCCTGGCTTTCTTCTGGTCAGTGCCCGCCCTCTTCGTCAACATCATGCCCTTCTCCTACACCATCTTCCTCACCTTCTTGCTGATACATCGCAGCTACCGAGATGAGGCCAAGTGTTGTCAGAAGTACGGCACCTTTTGGGTGGAATACTGCAAGAGGGTGCCCCAAAAGATTGTCCCGTACCTCTTCTAAACACACGTGGCTGTTGTTTCATCGAAAATGTGTTCCTGATTAAATAAACAATACGGTGTAGTAGTATTTTTCAATTCTCGGTTTGTGACAGTTTATCTGTCGAGGCACAACCACAAACTATATGTGTTCATTCAAAGGAGGACGCTTAGGCAATCACTGAACACACAAATACTATCTACGTTGACTTTTACGTGAACTGTCACCGTGTTGTGCTGGATACCCGCCAAAGATTTATCAACTTCTTGCCTTACCACCATCGTATATTGGTTCTAGGTCATTCGATGCGCACAAGTTTTATCATTGTTGGTTATCAGGTTAACGTTGTACAATGTGCACGAACGCAAAACTCTGGGTTAACGGTTGTGTTAGCTCACCTGGATCAAATATCCAGTGTCGGAATACTCGTCCGTCGTCGGACTTTCCAAGTTGATGGTTGTTTACATTCAATTATATAGGTCACTTAGGCCCATCCACGTAACGGACGTCTGTAGTAGACACTGACATTACATCCACGTTGCGGACGTCTGTAGTAGACACTGACATTACATCTACGTTACGGACGCCTGTAGTAGACAATAACATTACTTCTACGTTACGGACGCCTGTAGTAGACAATAATATTACATCTACGTTACGGACGCCTGTAGTAGACAATGATATTACATCTACGTTACGGACACCTGTAGTAGACAATGATATTACATCTACGTTACGGACGCCTGTAGTAGACAATGATATTACATCTACGTTGCGGACGCCTGTAGTAGACAATGATATTACATCTACGTTACGGACGCCTGTAGTAGACAATGATATTACATCTACGTTACGGACGCCTGTAGTAGACAATAATATTACATCTACGTTACGGACGCCTGTAGTAGACAATAATATTACATCTACGTTACGGACGCCTGTAGTAGACAATGATATTACATCTACGTTACGGACACCTGTAGTAGACAATGATATTACATCTACGTTACGGACGCCTGTAGTAGACAATGATATTACATCTACGTTGCGGACGCCTGTAGTAGACAATGATATTACATCTACGTTACGGACGCCTGTAGTAGACAATGATATTACATCTACGTTACGGACGCCTGTAGTAGACAATAATATTACATCTACGTTACGGATGCCTGTAGTAGACAATAATATTACATCTACGTTACGGACGCCTGTAGTAGACAATAATATTACATCTACGTTACGGACGCCTGTAGTAGACAATGATATTACATCTACGTTACGGACGCCAGTAGTAGACAATGATATTACATCTTCGTTACGGACGCCTGTATTGCATGCGACTGCAATTGTGAAAACGCAACGCATCGTTGGATGCACAATTGTGTAAACATTTGATCAAGTCGTGTCTAAGCAGATGGTTTTCAGGGAACTTATGTGCTATTGTGGCATAAGCTTGCACCATCACACATGTACACAAGTTTCAGCAGTGACACAGCTGACTAAGCAAAAATGATGAGTCCGCCATCTGTATCGATCCCATTGTCACCAGCTCTCATGGCTTTATCCTTCTCATTACACATCTTGCATATTTTATCTTTGTTTCCATAGCAACGATTATCAATGAGCATAAACCGTAACCCAAGCTAGAACGTCACGTACTTGTGTGCGACCCGGGACCGACAGGGTGTCTCAGATTCAAAGTTTACGACCGATACAATTGATAACCCATCTCGCGGTGGTCTGGTGTCGCAAGACCTTGCGTTAATGTGCTGCTGCTGCTGCTGCAAAAACCAAGACTAATATTTGAACTTTTTGTCAATACGCTGTGGTATGCGTACGCGTGTCCCTGGCCTGGTTCTGATCGAACCTCATAACGAACATTGGCATCATATTGTTCCTGGCAGATGGTATGGTGATTCCTGTTCAGGAATGTATCCGACAGAGACTGACTAACCCCATCCATGAATGTCTTCCCCAGACGGACAGATGGATGACAAATTCAGCCCATGGATGTACCAGATGGACAGATAAATAATATGACAAGCCTCGTCTGTATATATCACTGACAGATTGACAGATGGTACGATAATCCCCTCGATATTCTGGAAGACAGGTGACCCGTTTCTATTTCTTGTGTACCTGATTCCATTTCTTATCGATTTTTATATCGATAAATAGGTTATTGCTCCGGACGGGTTTGGGTTTTCCTCGTGTTTTTTTTCAAATACGGTACATTTTGTTAATTGTAAATATTTCATATACGACCTCGGTGAAAATTTAATGGTATTGTTGGTATCGGGTAGAGTGGTATTTCGTGGGAATGGGGGATTCTTGGATAAAACAACTCCAATACATTGTCAGATGTATATTCTAGTCCCAAATACCTCATTACCTATGTCGCACCTGCAACTGTATAGAGTCCAGGGCCTCGTTCAACAAAGCGATCTTAGCGCTACGACTATCCTAAGCCTATGTTAAAGTATGGGAGTTACGATCATCTTAGCGCTAAGATCACTTTATGGAACGGGGCTCAAGACGATTCAGATTCAGAGCAACTAAATGTGCAATAAGTATACATGGTTTATTTCCATGAGCTGTGGATTGACCTACGAGACATATACCACTAGTCCCATCTGCAATATCTACAGTGTTATCAGTGGGTTTCCATGACTTCCGCCAATCGAAGATGGAGTTCCCGGACTCCTTGAGTGTGAGGTCGGGCAGCTGCTGAGAAATATGCGATAAGCTGTTGTCCACTCAGGGTGAATAAATGCAAGAATTGATAAACAGATTTATAAATGCATTAACATTCATCCAATATCGTTTTTTGTGATCAATATCGTCTTGCATGTATATTACATATTTTCTGTATATAAAAGAATTGAAAGGAATCATACTGGTCTTGTCATCTTTAAACAAGGACTTCCATTACTGTCCTCAATGAGTGAGTGAGTGAGTATGGTTTTACGCCGCTTTTAGCAACATTCCAGCATAATCACGGCGGGGGACACCAGAAATGGGCTTCACACATTGTACCCATGTCGGGAATCGAACCCGGGTCTTCGGCGTGACGAGCGAACGCTTTAACCACTAGGCTACCTGATCGCCCACTGTCCTTAATGTGTTTGGTCTAATGGGGCTTTATACAGTGTATGTTATATCACGGCGTGTCACTTGTTGTGTGATGGAAAGCCTGGTGTAATGTTTGTTTGTTTGTTTAAAGCCGCACTCAGCAATATTCCAGCTATATGACGGCGGTCTGTAAGTAATCGAGTCTGGACCAGACAATCCAGTGATTGTCATCATGAGCATCGATCCATGCAATTGGGATACGATGACATGCAAGCGAACCTGACCACCCGATCCCGTTAGTCGCGTCTTACGACAAGCATACTTGCCTTTTAAGGCAAGCATGGGTTGCTGAAGACCTATTCTAACCCGGATGTTCACGGGTCTGTTATGCGGGTGTAGACGTTTACCACTGGGTGGCGCCACCGACAACTGGGCAAACCTCCAGCGACTTCAGTTATGATAGAGTACAATTACTCATGTCTTGAAATCAGATCACCTCATAAAAGAAGTCAAATGTTTAGCGTACATAGATACCCCGCTATGGCTTGACAGTTGCACGGACAAAGCGAATGGTTGATTCGTGGGGTTCACGAGAACGTCCATGGCGAAATTAGGGCGAATCTAATGCTTGTATCTTTGACCAGCGAATCCTGGAATCTAAGGGACGCAACTCCGTACGGCTATGGCGATTACCCAGCCAGCCAGTATAAGATCAGATAAAAAGTGTCCAATCAAAAAGTTAGAATCTGTTGTATACTTGTTTCGAAACAACGTATCAAGGGTTATCATTTATGACAAAAGCCAACATATATGTGGCGGTTACAAATGCGCAAAATTGTGTTCTCTTAAAACAGCGTTTAGAGTGAGTGAGTGAGGGTGTTTTACGCCGCTTTCAGCAATATTCGAGCACTAACACGTCGGGGGACACCAGAAATGGGCTTAACACATTATACCCATTTTGCAATCGAACCCGGGTCTTCGGCGTGACGAGCGAACGCTTTAACCACGAGGCTACCCGACCGCCCCACTGCGTTTAATTACTATACTGTTAAACTGCGGTCAGAAATATGAAGCTACATTTATGAAGGCGAGATAGGAACAAATGTGTTTTGAGTTAGGATACCAGTGGTTAATAGCATCGGAATAACCGTCGGAATAAGAACAATCACAATGTTAAGGCCCCCAGCGTATCCGGATGAATTTACATGTTTGTTTGTTGTTTAACGCCACACTCAGCAATAATCCTGTAAATAATCGAGTCTGGACCAGACAATCCAGTGATTGACATCACGAGCATCGATCCACGCAGTTGGGATACAATGATATGAATCAACCAAGTCACCGAGCCTGACCACCCGATCCCGTTAGCTCTTACAACAAGCATAGTCGCTGTTTACGGCAAGCATGGATTACTGAAGACCTATTCCAACCCGAATCTTCACGGGTCGTATTTGCATATGTTCTGACTCGGGTCCCAATAGGGTTCCTCGTATTGTGATGGAATGAGGTGAGGTGATGTGAAATGGGGTGTGACGTTGCGTCGAACATTATTGCACTTATGTAGCACCTTGTAGTGCTTGCCCACTGAGATACCATGCCGCAGTTTAACATCGATACCTGATTCAGATGCAGTATACTCTTAGCCAATCAGTCCTTGTTTGATCTCCGAAATGTTGAGCGTCAGGGTTAACCATACTTTAACGTCTTTTAGTATGACGTTGGATCGAACTATCGACGTTCCGCTATCGGGGTAGACGGTCCATCCACCAGACAACCGATGCGGCACCTAATGGTACAAGAGTGTTGGTTGTTGTTGGTTTGTTGTTTTACGCCGCACTCAGCAATATTCCAGCTATATGACGGCAGTCTGTAAATAATCGAGTCTGGACCAGACAATCCAGCGACTGATATCATGAACATCAATCCACGCAATTGGGATCAATGACATGCACCAACCAAATCAGCGAGCCTGACCACTCGATCCCGTTAGTCGCCTCTTACGACAAGCATGGGTTGCTCAAGACCTATTCTACCCCGGATCTTCACGGTTTAGTACAAGAGTGAGCGAGTGAGTGAGTGTATATGGTTTTACGCAATATCACCGCGGAGGACACCAGAAATGGGCTTCACACATTGTACCCATGTCGGGAATCGAACCCGGGTCTTCGGCGTGACGATCGAACGCTTAACCACTAGGCCCGACCGCCAATGGTTTTAGAGGAAATTCATATCAAATATGAGTAAGGTCAGCGTAACCCGCTTTGAATATCATTTCGGTTATATAACGGCGTGTCAGCTTGACGTGGGAGAACCAAAGTGATGAATGTCTCAGACGCTTACCATTACGGTGAAACACAAGCACGAACAACGGGAACGGTGATGCCACACCTAGGAAGATAATCAGGGCGAGCTGGGGTTTGTGGACCAGTGCCATATCTCTGATATTAACGGGTGACATTGTTAGCCAACACATAGGTTAAGGCTGTTTTTAACAGTGAGTGAGTGAGTATAGTTTTACGCCGTTTTTAGCAATATTCCAGCAATATGACGGCGGGGGACACCAGAAATGGGCTTCACACATTGTAACCATGTCGGGAATCGAACCCGGGTCTTCGGCGTGACGAGCGAGCGCTTTAACCACCAGGCTACCCGACCACCCCGTTTTTAACAGACTTCAAGACATTTGGATTCATGCAGTTCACGGAAGGGTTTAACGGAAGGTCCGTGTTCGGTGTACCATTATTTACACCCGGTGTTTAGACAGATTCAGTTTCATCTACGACTACGACTACGAATACGACAGTACATGTACGTACTTCCTAAAAGAGGGTACAAGGGACTTTTTGTCCCCCCCTTCTCAAAAAAAGAAAGAAGAAAATAAAAGAAGAGATTTCAGGGAAAATCTGTTCCCAAGTATCCCATGGCTCAACACACGAGGGGCGGTCGGGTAGCCTAGTGGTTAAAGCGTTCGCTCGTCACGCCGATGACCCGGGTTCGATGGGTACATGGGTACAATGAGTGAAGGCCATTTCTGGTGTCCCCCGCCGTGATATTGCTGGAATATTGCTAAAAGCGGCGTTAAACCAAATTCACTCACTCAACACACGAGTCACTGACTCACTCACACGTCAAAATAGGTGTCCGAGGTCAACATGAATATATACATCCCCCGCCGTGATATTGCCAGAACACTGCTACATTCACTCACTAATTCTTACGCGGGTCTGTGTGTGTCTGTGTGCGTGTGTGTGTGTATTGGTGTATTGATTTACGCCGCTTTTACTAATATTCCAGCAATATCACGTCGGGGCACACCAGAAATGGGCTTTACACATTGTACCCATGTGGGGAATCGAACCCGGATCTTCGGCAGGGTGAGCGAACACCTACCTCACCGCCCTAGACTTTAGAGACCCATGCTTGTCGCAAGTGGCGACCAACGGGATCGGTTGATGCATGTCTTCGTATCTCAGTTTCGTAGACTGATGCTCATGATGTCAATCACCAGATTATGACGAGCTTATTTCGTCATATAGTTTGAATATTGCGGAATGCAGCATTAAACAACAAAATAAACAACAGCTACATACACGTAAAGATGTTTCACCCGATATATCGCGACACGACCATACATCCTGGTAATTAATGTTCGAAGGGTGACGTCAATATGGTCCCGCCCATTTTATAGCATACCTCAGGCAAAACACACTTTCGTTTAATATATTAATTATGGGATTAACGTGGGAGTGTCCCGCTAGAAAACAAAAATATATTTTGTTGCTTTTGAGAGTGCAATGCAAGTTCCGGATAGAGATGTGGTCTTCTTTGGACACATCTTGAAAAACTATTTGATCTGTGTAAACAGAAATATGTAACACCTGATCCCCTGAAGGCTGATCATCGTTCAAAGACTCGTGAAGTTAAATTTAGTCTTCTTCCTGAAACGACGTTGGATTTCATGAAAAGAAAAAAAATAATATAAGTAAACAAAATCAAAACTTACAAGCTACTCGTCAAGTAAGTGATTGAGTGAGTATGGTTTTACGCCGCATTCCTCAATATTCCAGCAATATCAGGGCGGGCAACACCAGAAATTGGCACATTTTATCAGTGTGGAGAATCGAAACCTGGCCTTGGTGGGTGACCAGCGAACGCTTGAACCAATACGCTACCCGCCGTCCCTTCATTAAAGATTGTTTGTTTGTTGTTTAACGCCGCACACAGCAATATTCCAGCTATATGACGGCGGTCTGTAAATAATCGAATCTGGACCACAAAATCCAGTGATTGACATCATGAGTATCGATCTACGCAATTGGGATACAATGACATGCATCAACCAAGTCAGCGTGCCTGACCACCCGATCCCGTTAGTCGCCTCTTACGACAAGCATAATCACCTTTTATGGCAAACATGGGTTGCTAAAGACCTATTCTACCCCGGATCTTCACGGTCTTGGTGTGAACAGAGGACATGTGTTGCCCAGAGATATATAAACGAGGATGGTATGCTTTATACCGCACACAGCTGCCACTGGTCAGTGGTCAGTGAAGTGGCGGTCTCAGTTGGACATTAGACATACTGATGAAACATTAACTTTCCGAAGTCAAGCAGGAAAATATACCACACTACTTCAAACATGCACACACGCACACACACGCATACAGGATGGGTGGGTGATTTTGGTCTAACGCAGATCTGTCAATACCGTCAGGATGATGTTGGAAGAGAGCTCGAAGTATCGCAGGACAAAAAGGATGTGCGTGCAATTCCTTTTTTGACTGGTACCAAATGTTCCGGATTTTTTCAAGTGAACATTTGACTAGCCTTTGCATGTGTTTGTGACGGGTGCTGACGGTGCGGCAGGGTACGTTCATCTTTTCGCGAACACATGGTATCATCACTATTTCACAGTGATTCATTAATACATGCTTGTGACAAAGGCGGGATTGAACAATCGAGTCTGTTTGGGGCAAATATGTCTTATGAATATATTTGTCGCTTGTATTTGTCTATTGTATTTAAAAGTTTGCTGTGTTGGTGAAACCCACCAACACGGGTACGGTGCTGACACAAAGAAACACAATCAGGGCGAAATTAGAACTTGAACTATGATCATGGGTTTCTGGCACGCTTATGGAAGCAACTTTGCGAAGCCAATTGCGGCGCACCAGACAACGTAGATCTAGATGCATCTACCCTTTCATGTGACTTCATCCCAAACCAAAGCCTCAAGTTTAAATCATTTGTTCATATAATACTTATTTCTATATAGATATTCATATCAGGCCGTTTGCTTTTATCGTTGCGATTTTCATCTACAGCTAAACATGGCTCCCAAATCCAAATCCTCGCCCGCCTGTATATTCAACTAAATCGGGACAGGAAATTCTCGATGTCGTCTATAGGATATTTTACGAGAACTCGGACTTTTGCTTAACGTTTCTCGTCTTTTTAGCTTCGCTCTATTCGTCGATCCAGCAACCAATACAATTCGAACATAGCACAATAACGATGACGTGAGTTTTAGGTCAGGTGAGGTGAAATGGGGTCTAACATCGCGTCCAAGATTATTGCACATAGCGACGTGCATGCACATGTGTGTGTGGCTACTTGTACTAGTCCGGAATAATGCCGATTTTATCGTGCTAGCCCACCGAGATACCATGAAGCGGCTTAACATTTTCCTTCTGCCCGTCGACTTCTCTGAGGTGAGGTGAAATGGTGTTTAACTTGGCGTTCAAGGTTGTATAGTGCTAACCCACTGAGATAATTTTTGACACAAATGTGTCTTTAGTTTTGCTTTGAATGTTCGAAATGTTGAGGAAAGTCTAATCTCAAGTGGTAGATCATTCCATAACTTTGGGGCAGCCACACTGAAAGTCTTTAGTCCATGGCTGGAAAGTCTATACTGAGGAACAGATAGCAGGTGTTGGTTTGCTGATGGAAGAGTTCTTGGTGGATTATGAAGCTGGAGCAGAGTGGAGAGATAAGCTGGAACCTGGTTGTTGACACACTTGTAAGTCAAAGACAGCTTTTTGTACATGATCCTTGACTCAACCGGAAGTCAGTGTAGATGCTTGAGGACAGGTGTGATGTGTCACCTACGTGATGTCCTTGTCACAATCCTGGTTGCCGTGATCTCTCAAGTTCAAACATTATCACAACTCCATGTCAGAATCAGGAGATCTGATTGGTCCACGTGATCTCGATGAAATAAAGTGTAACTCGCCTTGAACGGTAATAAATTTTTCAACAGGGCAATAAATCTCTTATACCCCGCCACGAGCAATACAGGTTGCACCTGGATTTCTGAGAGACAGAATAAATCTCTTCAGCCCTGCTTCAAAGCCAAAACGCATGTAACAGCACAAGTTAACCTCAGCTCAATCGAACAGATGTTTCTATCAATTTTGAATTTGTGTTCATTCTTTCACAATGTCACATTAAAACATGTCGGTAAGACAAATTTATTGCAGCAGGATCACTCGGGGTACACCGGGTTGTATAGCGCTCCGGCTCCAGGTATAAAAACTAACGCGGGACCATAAAACCCCCATGTAATCCTGCTAGAACTTATATTGCAATGAGGCATCTGTGAACTTGGTTAGAATACAAAGCAACAGAACACACATTTAGGTTATACATAAAAATCCTCTAGTTTTTATTAAAATAAACATGATAAAAACACCTATGATTGTTTCATCCAATGGTGAGCAATACATTGCCACACAACTTCTCAGAGAAGACAAGTGTATCCAACATGAAGTAGGTAATTGACTCACAGTTCCTGAGAGATTTGCTTTAAATATAACTCATGATCTACCCTTTAGACACACTGACCTTTGACCCCAGTGAAACATAACAGATATGTCAAAGCCATTAACAGTTCATATTTCATCCAGTGTTGTTTATCATGCTGTCAACATTGTGAAAGCAAAATACCGAAAGTCTCATCAGGGGACCTAGGACTATCACACTGGTGGAGTTGGTAGCAACTGCAGAGAGGAAAGGTCACACTTCCTATTCATTTAAACAACTTAAGTGCCTGCCTATACAAATAGCCACATTTGTCCTCTTGCAAACTTTCAAAAGCAAGTTATAATAGGGTTGGATTGATACAAATAAGTCATCACACAAATAACAAACCAGCTCAATGCTGTTAGAGATACCCATGAAGATCTGGGTTAGAATTGGTCCTCAGCAACCCATGCTTGTTGTAGAAGGTGATTACAGGATCGGAAGATCAGGCTCTCTGACTTGGTGACTTGTATCAAAATTGCGTGGATCAATGCTCATGATGTCAATCACTGGATTGTCAGGTCCAGACTCACTTATTTACAGACCGCCATCATAAGGCTGGAATATTGCTGAGTGCACCATTAAACAATAAACAAACAAACCAACAATGCTGTTGGAACATCAAGCTCATGGTTTGTAGGTTGTCTAGAAAATATGGTAATCATCCGTCTAGTGGTTCGAGAACAGGTGATTACCATGATGACATACTTGTATCACAAACTTCCACAGGTGGAGAGGGCTTGAAAAACAAACCTCGATATAACCTGATATGTGTGTTTAACACCACAACATTCCATATATGACAGTGGACCAGTGATTGACAAAATGAACTCCGATCCACGCAATTCGGAAACAAAAAAAAAGAAAAAAGAAAAAGAAAAAAAAAGGAAATCTCAAATCAACAAAAGGCACCAGTTCATTAGACTTATTAATATAGAAAGTTAGAAATATATCACATAATTAATAGCCATTTAGGAACACATGGGTCGAACACAACAACGCAAACGGTAATATTGTGTGCTTTGTACTCCGCTGTTAAATTATCAAATTGTAACTTTTACATTTTCACTATCTATATTAAAGATAGAATATGTTGTCATTCCCAATCGCACATGGTTTGTTACTCAGGATTGCTGTAGACATTTTTTTTATTTTTCTCAAAAAGAAACATTTTGTCATCATCAATCTTTATTTTGAATTTATATTTGCTTACCTTTACCATGAGGGCTACATTTTGAAAAGTTTGAAATATGACAAATAACTAACAAAAAACTAGCCTTACATTTTAGGATTTTAGTATTTGTATTTCATTTTGAATTTATAGTACATTCTTAGGAATCTTCACAAATTGAAACTATGTATCCATTTACTTCTAAGGCACCGAAGTAAGGCGGTACGTTGCTACAAGCCGACATCAGACGAACAACGTGAGGTCGCTTTAAATATTATATCCATTGCCAAGATGCAGAGAAGCACAACGGTCACAAAGGACATGAAAACCTCGGGTGGCCAGGTGACTTCATAAAAAGATCAACCGATCGTGTTCAATTTCAATATAACATGAAAATAGTGTACATCACAAGAAAAAAATGTATCCAAAATTTGCTCCTCTAATAAACTTTGAAAACATGAATATTCTTCATTCAATAGGGCTTTAATATGTATCTGTCCGACAGGATATTCTGTAAAATGTTCCTAATCTGAAGAGCTGGCATGTGAAAAAACTATTTTGGAATATTGTACAGGATATTTGTTGACAGAAGACCATACTACAGATCCAGGAGCAGAGGGACATTAGAACGATAATTTCCTGGGGCAAAGGGACATTATTACGATTATTTCCCAGGGGAAAGGGGCATTATTATGATAATTTCCCGGGTGAAAGGGACATTATTATGATAATTTCCCAGGGCAAAGTGCCATTATTATGATAATTTCCCGGTCCAGAGGAACATTATTAAGAATATTCTGGTTGGGTGGGGAGTAACATTACGAGAATATTCTGGTTGAGTAGGGAGGAACCTTACGAGAAAAGAGTGACCTGCAAGAACAATGGAGTGACGCCACAGGAGGTTGATAACTTTGGTTCTGACCATCTTTGGGGAAGAATCACTCTATTCATTTTTTGGAAAGGAGCTGAATGAACCTTCACCATTTTTGGAGGAACAGGATCTTCATATGTTTAAAGAATGGTCCTTTCAAACATCTCGAGTGATGCAGTTCTCCATAATGCCTTTGACTGGTTTGGTTTGTTTGTTGTTTAACGCCACGCTCAGCAATATTCCAGCTATATAACGGCGGTCTGTAAATAATCAAGCCTGGACCAGACAATCCAGTGATTGACATAATGAGCATCGATCCACGCAATTGGGATCGATGACATGCATCAACCAAGTCAGCGAGCCTGACCACCCGATCCCGTTAGTCGCCTCTTACGACAAGCATAGTCGCCTTTGATGGGTAATGCCTTTGAGAAAGAGCTGTATTATACTCTCATGTTAGAACATATTTGTGTGCCATATTCTGTACCAGGTTTCCGTGTGAGGTGATGAAGGTGCTGCAGATGCACCTGTGCTGCGCCCGGTTACTGTAAACTAATCTAGTGCCTGCTGGTTAAATGAGTTCAGTAGGATGACATCCCCATCACAATCCCATTATGGTGATTATTCACCTACTCCTGGTTATTACATGGTGGCATTCATGGTTTGGCTATGCTTTGTAGGAGAGAAAGTGTAGTACTTCTTCGAAGTAGGTCAGTCCACGTTCCTTCCATCTGTCATCTAAGCTGTCAAGGCGATCAAGAATCTCCACTTTGTACTGACTACCTGTAACACAGACAAGATCTCCACATTGAACTGACTACCTGTAACACAGACAAGATCTCCACATTATATTGACTACCTGTAACACAGACAAGATCTCCACATTATATTGACTACCTGTAACACAGACAAGATCTCCACATTATATTGACTACCTGTAACACAGACAAGATCTCCACATTGTACAGACTACCTGTAACACAGACAAGATCTCCACATTATATTGACTACCTGTAACACAGACAAGATCTCCACATTGTACAGACTACCTGTAACACAGACAAGATCTCCACATTATATTGACTACCTGTAACACAGACAAGATCTCCACATTGAACTGACTACCTGTAACACAGACAAGATCTCCACATTGTACAGACTACCTGTAACACAGACAAGATCTCCACATTGTACAGACTACCTGTAACACAGACAAGATCTCCACATTATATTGACTACCTGTAACACAGACAAGATCTCCACATTATATTGACTACCTGTAACACAGACAAGATCTCCACATTGTACAGACTACCTGTAACACAGACAAGATCTCCACATTATATTGACTACCTGTAACACAGACAAGATCTCCACATTGTACAGACTACCTGTAACACAGACAAGATCTCCACATTATATTGACTACCTGTAACACAGACAAGATCTCCACATTGAACTGACTACCTGTAACACAGACAAGATCTCCACATTGTACAGACTACCTGTAACACAGACAAGATCTCCACATTGTACAGACTACCTGTAACACAGACAAGATCTCCACATTATATTGACTACCTGTAACACAGACAAGATCTCCACATTGTACAGACTACCTGTAACACAGACAAGATCTCCACATTATATTGACTACCTGTAACACAGACAAGATCTCCACTTTGAACTGACTACCTGTAACACAGACAAGATCTCCACATTATATTGACTACCTGTAACACAGACAAGATCTCCACATTATATTGACTACCTATAACACAGACAAGATCTCCACATTGAACTGACTACCTGTAACACAGACAAGATCTCCACGTTGAACTGACTACCTGTAACACAGACAAGATCTCCACATTATATTGACTACCTGTAACACAGACAAGATATTCACATTGTACAGACTACCTGTAACACAGACAAGATCTCCACGTTGAACTGACTACCTGTAACACAGACAAGATCTCCACGTTGAACTGACTACCTGTAACACAGACAAGATCTCCACATTATATTGACTACCTGTAACCCAGACAAGATCTCCACATTGTACAGACTACCTGTAACACAGACATGATCTCCACGTTGAACTGACTACCTGTAACCCAGTCAAGATCTCCACATTATATTGACTACCTGTAACACAGACAAGATCTCCATGTTGAACTGACTACCTGTAACACAGACAAGATCTCCACATTATATTGACTACCTGAAACACAAACAAGATCTCCACGTTGAACTGACTACCTGTAGCAGACAAGATCTCCACATTATATTGACTACCTGTAACACAGACAAGATCTCCACATTATATTGACTACCTGTAACACAGACAAGATCTCCACATTATATTGACTACCTGTAACACAGACAAGATCTCCATGTTGAACTGACTACCTGTAACACAGACAAGATCTCCACATTATATTGACTACCTGAAACACAAACAAGATCTCCACGTTGAACTGACTACCTGTAGCAGACAAGATCTCCACATTATATTGACTACCTGTAACACAGACAAGATCTCCACATTATATTGACTACCTGTAACACAGACAAGATCTCCACATTGTACAGACTACCTGTAACACAGACAAGATCTCCACGTTGAACTGACTACCTGTAACACAGACAAGATCTCCACATTGTACAGACTACCTGTAACACAGACAAGATCTCCACGTTGAACTGAATACCTGTAACACAGACAAGATCTCCACATTATATTGACTACCTGTAACACAGACAAGATCTCCAAATTGTACAGACTACCTGTAACACAGACAAGATCTCCACATTGTACAGACTACCTGTAACACAGACAAGATCTCCACATTATATTGACTACCTGTAACACAGACAAGATCTCCACATTGAACAGACTACCTGTAACACAGACAAGATCTCCACATTGAACAGACTACCTGTAACACAGACAAGATCTCCACATTGTACAGACTACCTGTAACACAGACAAGATCTCCACGTTGAACTGACTACCTGTAACACAGACAAGATCTCCACATTGTACTGACTACCTGTAACACAGACAAGATCTCCACATTAAACTGACTACCTGTAACACAGACAAGATCTCCAAATTGTACTGACTACCTGTAACACAGACAAGATCTCCACGTTGAACTGAATACCTGTAACACAGACAAGATCTCCACATTATATTGACTACCTGTAACACAGACAAGATCTCCACATTGTACAGACTACCTGTAACACAGACAAGATCTCCACATTGTACAGACTACCTGTAACACAGACAAGATCTCCACATTATATTGACTACCTGTAACACAGACAAGATCTCCACATTGAACAGACTACCTGTAACACAGACAAGATCTCCACATTGAACAGACTACCTGTAACACAGACAAGATCTCCACATTGTACAGACTACCTGTAACACAGACAAGATCTCCACGTTGAACTGACTACCTGTAACACAGACAAGATCTCCACATTGTACTGACTACCTGTAACACAGACAAGATCTCCACATTGAACTGACTACCTGTAACACAGACAAGATCTCCACATTGTACTGACTACCTGTAACACAGACAAGATCTCCACGTTGAACTGAATACCTGTAACACAGACAAGATCTCCACATTATACTGACTACCTGTAACACAGACAAGATCTCCACATTGTACAGACTACCTGTAACACAGACAAGATCTCCACATTGTACAGACTACCTGTAACACAGACAAGATCTCCACATTATATTGACTACCTGTAACACAGACAAGATCTCCACATTGAACAGACTACCTGTAACACAGACAAGATCTCCACATTGAACAGACTACCTGTAACACAGACAAGATCTCCACATTGTACAGACTACCTGTAACACAGACAAGATCTCCACGTTGAACTGACTACCTGTAACACAGACAAGATCTCCACATTGTACTGACTACCTGTAACACAGACAAGATGTCCACATTGAACTGACTACCTGTAACACAGACAAGATCTCCACATTGTACTGACTACTTGTAACACAGACAAGATCTCCACGTTGAACTGAATACCTGTAACACAGACAAGATCTCCACATTATATTGACTACCTGTAACACAGACAAGATCTCCACATTGTACAGACTACCTGTAACACAGACAAGATCTCCACATTGTACAGACTACCTGTAACACAGACAAGATCTCCATGTTGTACTGACTACCTGTAACACAGACAAGATCTCCACATTGTACAGACTACCTGTAACACAGACAAGATCTCCATGTTGTACTGACTACCTGTAACACAGACAAGATCTCCACATTGTACTGACTACCTGTAACACAGACAAGATCTCCACATTGAACTGACTACCTGTAACACAGACAAAATCTCCACATTGAACAGACTACCTGTAACACAGACAAGATCTCCACATTATATTGACTACCTGTAACACAGACAATATCTCCACATTATATTGACTACCTGTAACAGACAAGATCTCCACATTATAATGACTACCTGTAACACAGACAAGATCTCCATGATGAACTGACTACCTGTAACAGACAAGATCTCCACATTGTACTGACTACCTGTAACACAGACAAGATCTCCACATTGTATTGACTACCTGTAACACAGACAAGATCTCCATGTTGAACTGACTACCTGTAACACAGACAAGATCTCCACATTGTACAGACTACCTGTAACACAGACAAATTCTCCACATTGAACAGACTACCTGTAACACAGACAAGATCTCCATGATGAACTGACTACCTGTAACAGACAAGATCTCCACATTGTACTGACTACCTGTAACACAGACAAGATCTCCACATTGTATTGACTACCTGTAAAACAGACAAGATCTCCATGTTGAACTGACTACCTGTAACAGACAAGATCTCCACATTGTACTGACTACCTGTAACACAGACAAGATCTCCACATTGTATTGACTACCTGTAACACAGACAAGATCTCCATGTTGAACTGACTACCTGTAACAGACAAGATCTCCACATTATATTCACTACCTGTAACACAGACAAGATCTCCACGTTGAACTGACTACCTGTAACACAGACAAGATCTAGCCCGCTAGCCCGAGGCTAGTACAAATTCCTTTTGGGCTAGTACAAATTTCCAATTTTCCCCATTGTTTTAACATTACTAAGTCATTAATCTTAACCCGGGCTAGTGAAGCTTTTGAGTTTAGTTTTAACCCTGTAAGTCATTTATTTTAGCAAGGGTATCGTCTTGCATCGATACAGAAATAAGGGTATCGTGGATCGTATCGTCGCATAAAAACTCACAATGCATTGGTGCACCAATGTATCGTTTCACCCTTAATACTGCATACTCCAACAACCTATCACTCCATCTATACACCAGCATCATCATCACATTACCTTGTGGTCAACAACAGATTACTTACCATATAACTTCGGAATCAGTTCGTCTTCCACAAAATGTGGCGGACCTGAAACAACGAACCAGATAATGAAGTGAGTGAGTGAGAGAACAGTGTTTCAGGAGAAGGTGAAATGGGGTTTAACGTCTGGTCCAAGATTATTGCACGTATAAAGCGACGTGCATGTACGTGTGTGTGTGTTCGTGTGTGGCTGCTTGTACTAGTCCGGACTGATGCCGATTTATAGTGCTAGCTCACTGAGATACCATGCCGCAGTTTCACATGAATACCCCACTCAGACACAGTATACTGATTCCGAGCCGACCAGTCCTTGTTTTAGCCCCTTAATGCCGAGCGCCAGACAGGGTAACAAGTACCATCTTTTGGTATGACGCAGCCAGGGATCGAACCCCAGACCTTCCGCTCTCCGGGCGGACTCTCTACCACTAGACCACAGAGGTGGTCGAACAGTGTTTCAATGGGGCTTTGTTACAAAATGTGGTAACAATAGATATAGACGCCACTTTTAGGAATATTCCTGCCATATCATGGCGGGGGACACCAGAAATGGGCTTCACACATTGTACCCATGTCGGGATCAAACCTGGGTCTTCGGCGTGATGAGCCAATGCTTTAACCACGAGGCTACCCGACCGCCCCGAGAGGTATCATATATCTTGCACATAAACATCCCCATTCAGAGACGTCCACCTGTTCCCCACCTATTAGGCCAGTATCAAATATGACAGTATTGCAAATGTCAGCATTAGAGATTGGCACTAGTCCTATAGTCCTTGCCAAACTGCACAATAGTCAAGGTATCATAAGGAGTAGTAGAAATTGGCCCTTTTTAAGGCTAAAAAATAATTGTCTTGGTTCTCAGTCACTCTATCATAAAGTTCGCCGCATGTTTTGTTTTTATTTCCATTTTTGAAAAAAACAAAAATATCTTTCAATATTCCAAGTCCAACGGTAGTCAAATACAGTATTCCAGTATTTTACTCATCAAGAAATACATTAATGTAGGGAGGCCCTTTCCCAGGTTGTACACAACTGTTTATTTGGTTGCACAACTGTTTATTTGGTTACACAACTGTTTATTTGGTTGCATACATGTTTGAACAAAAATAAAAAGGGGGAAAAAAGGGAGAAAAGACACTGCCCGCCTGCACTATAATTTCAAAAACCGTTGCCTGAGAAGCAATTCTTTTATTTTTTTAAGGATTTTGAAATATGTTATCATTATAAGGACTAGTCTGATATGTTGTGGCCAGTACAGGTTATAGTCTATGGCAGTATTAATACCAATGCAAAAGCAAATACTGACATGAGTAATTGCTGACCTAGTGATACAGGTACTAACCTCCATAAAGAGTTGGGTCATAGTTCAAGGTTACGACGAAAATCCTAGAAGCTGGCGCTGACACAGACTTTATCAAATCGGCATATCTGAATGTAAATATAGTTAGTTAGTTCATTACCTATTTCCATTAGACAAGAGTCTTGTGACACAATGTATTTATTCAGGGTCCAGTGATGGCGCCATGCATTACACCCTGGTCTAGTGATAGCTCCATAGAATAGACCCTGGTCTAGTGACAACTGCATGTATTAGATCCTGGTCTAGTGACAGCTCCATGTATTAGATCAGGGTCTAGTGATAGCTCCATGTAATAGACCAGGGTCTCCTGACAGCTGTATTAGACCAGGGTCTAGTGATAGCTCCATGTAATAGACCAGGGTCCCCTGACAGCTGTATTAGACCAGGGTCTAGTGACAGCTCCATGTATTAGACCAGGATCTAGTGACTAGTGACTAGCTGTATTAGACCCAATAGCTCCATGTAATAGACCAGGGTCTCCTGACAGCTGTATTAGACCCGGGTCTAGTAACAGCTCCATGTATTAGACCAGGATCTAGTGACTAGTGACTAGCTGTATTAGACCCAGTGATGGCTCCTATATGGTCTGACTGGCTGGTCACCCACCTCTCCCTGTCCTCTCTATTGATGGCTACCAGAGCGCCTCTGTCCCACACAGCATCAACCTTGTCCTTGAAGGATCTGCAATGGGAGCAGAATGATGTCCATCATAATTCTTGAAAGACACGCTTAAGAGCATCACATGGTAACAAAACAAATGAGCAAACAGTTGAATGGGATATATATGGGGGTCCTGTAAAGTTGGTTGGTTGGTTTGTTGTTTAATGCAGCACTCAGAAATATTCCAGCTATATGACAGTTGTCGGTAAATAATCGAGTCTTGACCAGACAATCCAGTGATTGACATCATGAGCCTCGATCTACGCAATTGGGGTCAGCAAGCCTGACCACCCGATCCCGTTAGTCGCCTCTTACGACAAGCAAAGTCGCCTTTCACGGGAAGCATGGGTTGCTGAGACCTATTCTACCCCGGATCTTCACGGGTCTCCTGTAAAGTAATGAAATGGTGTAGTGTACTGTAAGATTTGATAATTACTTTAACTACAGGACCTAATATTTTTCGAGGACTAGTAAAATAAGGTTTACACTAGTCTTCTGGACTAATGTTAGAAAAAAAAATAACCTGAATTTCTAAGGCTGATTGTGTGTCAGCTTATTGTGGAAAGACAGTTTCGTGTGGCAAGAGGGAGATGTTAAACAGGTGATAAATATACTGGGTTCACATCCAACCCGACTAATACCAAATCATATCAGCTTCACCTGTCAAACATCTTCAAGTGCAACATCCCTGTAGAGTCTACAGCAGGGCCAACTTGCACAAAGCGATCTTAGGGCTATGACTGTCGTAAGCCTATGTTAAGGTATGGGAGTTAAGATCATCTTAGCAGTAAGAAAGTTTTGTGCAAGTGGGCCCAGTATAGTATGCCAAGCCTCTCAAGGAAATGATACACATCATGGCTACGTACCTGTTGAAATCAAACACATCACATTTGTACAAAGAGATTCGGCCATCACTACTCTGAAAACAAAAAGTAAAAAGGTGACAGGCATAGCCTGGGTGCATGGTCAGTAACAGTTTCACCGGACAAGGGGCATGTACACTAGCCATTCTGAGAGCTCATGAGGCACAGGTGGCCCAGTCGTCCAAGGCGCCGCGATTCGCTGTGCAGAGTTGCGTCCCTTGTGTTTAATGCCGCTTTTAACAGTATTCCAGTTATATCATGGCGTGTCAGCTTAATGTGGGAGGAAAGCCCGAAGTGATGCAGGTCTCAGACGTTTATCACTTCGGTGAAACCCACGAGCACGGGTATGGTGCTCACAAACCTAGAAACATAATCGGGGTGAAACAGGATTCAAACCCACAATCATAGGTTTCTGGCGTACGCAAGGGTCCCTGCAACTCTGCAAAGTCAATTGAGGCACCTTAGATGACTGGGCCCCCTCAAAATGAAATAAATACAATTACCATGAATACATACATGTATATAACTATTTATGTTATTTTTATGGTGAGTTTAAACTTCTTTGATAATGCTTTTATTGATTCCAATACACAGTTATGGAAATTGACCCCTCGAAAAGCCAAACAAACAGGAAGTCACTTACTGTGGAGCCATGTAATCTTTAACCCCAAGAATGAAGGACCATATTTGTAATTGAGGGCGCTTTCCGACTACGAGCCAGTATGAATAAAGACGAATTTGTAGTAATTTCTGATGTGGCATTATCATCAGGTGGTCTGAGAAATATCTGCACACAAATATCAACCACTCCCAGTAAAGACTATAAAATGCAGTAACTTGACCACTACCAGACATAAGGAAATGGCGACAATATGCGATACAAAACAAGCCAGCAACTGATGACAACCATGAATGTTATATAAAACAGAGACAAAGGGAAGTAACTACACGGTAGTATGTACAAGGGGGGTAACTCCAGTGTTCTATTCCTGGTATGAAGTAGAAACAAGTTTGTGAGGGAGGCTGGAATAACCTGCCTTGTGCATATGTTAAAATAAACCTGCATGTATACCTAACTCATATAACTACTTGTATGTCTAACTGTGCTACTGGCTCTGGTACCTACCCATCTTCCCGAGGCAAGGGAGTTAACTGATAATAAAAGTCTAGTTTTCACCCTTGCCGAACTAGACTTGAATTTCGTGGCTTGATTGTAGCGGTGGCTATTAGGAGTTGTGCCGCTTCTAATTTCTCCTATTGACCAATCAGATTCCACCTCTCATATCACTTGCATTTGCTTCAAACAAAATGGCGGCACCCAGTCAGGACAAACTGATCCAGTCAAAATCTCTTCTATCATAAAATGGATCTTACATCATGAAGTGCATCAAATTACTTGAGCACCTTGATAAGAAACATGAAGAGGTTTGGAAAATATCTATCGATGCCCAGTTAACCGTACACGCACCTTGCAAATCTTGCAGTCAACGGAAATCTGCACGTTGAAATCCATGTTGTTCATGAACTGGGATGTCTAGTTCGTTTTCATGATTTTGATTGAACTATACATAGACTGGTTAGTCCAGTCAAAATGTAACTTCGGAATTCCAGCCTAGTTCGTCAAGGTTCGAAACTGGACTTCTATAGACAGTAAACTCCCTTGCCTTGGGAAGATGGTTACTACCTTGTATAACTACTCATATGTCAGACTGTCCTACTGGCTCTGGTACTACCTTGTATAACTCTACTTGTATGTCGGACTGTTTTACTCGGTCTGCTACAATCTCGTATAACTACTCACATGTCAGACTGTCCTACTGGCTCTGGTACTACCTTGTATAACTCTACTTGTATGTCGGACTTTGTTACTCGGTCTGCTACAATCTCGTATAACTACTCACATGTCAGACTGTCCTACTGGCTCTGGTACTACCTTGTATAACTCTACTTGTATGTCGGACTTTGTTACTCGGTCTGCTACAATCTCGTATAACTACTCACATGTCAGACTGTCCTACTGGCTCTGGTACTACCTTGTATAACTCTACTTGTATGTCGGACTTTGTTACTCGGTCTGCTACAATCTCGTATAACTACTCACATGTCAGACTGTCCTACTGGCTCTGGTACTACCTTGTATAACTCTACTTGTATGTCGGACTTTGTTACTCGGTCTGCTACAATCTCGTATAACTACTCATATGTCAGACTGTCCTACTGGCTCTGGTACTACCTTGTATAACTCTACTTGTATGTCGGACTTTGTTACTCGGTCTGCTACAATCTCGTTGACTACTCATATGTCAGACTGTCCTACTGGCTCTGGTACTACCTTGTATAACTCTACTTGTATGTCGGACTTTGTTACTCGGTCTGCTACAATCTCGTATAACTACTCATATGTCAGACTGTCCTACTGGCTCTGGTACCTACCTTGTACAAATCTCCTGGGATGTCTGTGAGTGTTTCCTTGCTGTACTCAATGTTTTGCTCCGTGAAGAACTCGACCACTGCCTGCTCCACTGCCTCCACTCCGATGACAGTGTGGCCCTGGTCAGCAATCCTGCAACATTAATCTTCTACAGCATGCTATCTCACAGTCACTTGGGATCAAACACTCAGTCTTGTGGGGACTTTCGTTCAGAACAATCAGCACTTCCACCAGGCCATGGGCTACTAAGGTCCACCGTGCTCCCCCCCTAAAACACCTTCCCCAAACAAAACCTACTTTTTCTGAAAAACTTGCAACCAATAAACACAAAATCGAAGGGTAATATTGAAAATATAGGGATGAAGTTATTCTGGAAGCCATGATGCCACTAGATTGTTTCCTGCACTTGTTTGTGTGTATATCTCAAATGTATATTTACATAAAATAGAAATTATGGACAATTTGAGTGATCAACATGGAGCGAATAAACAAAATCATGCTATTTTAACTAAAAGTTTAACAATTAATACAATTTCCATGCTATCTGATGACAATGACATCATTGCATCCAGAATAACTTCAGCTTTCTATTGATATAATACATAAAGAAATTTAAAGATTTATGAGGCATTCTATGGAACTTAACATTTTTGGAGGACCCACAAGACAGTATTTTTCAAAATCCAGCATCCATAATGATTCATATTTTCTTGCAAAGCTTGAGGAACAATATTCTTCAGGCAGTTTGGGGCAAATCGCAGTCAAAACATTATTTTTAACTGACTCAGTGACTGTGTACAGCTGTAGATCCACTGTATTATCACACGCATCAGTCAGTTACTATGTAAAGCTCTAGATCCACTGTATTATCACACGTATGAGTCAGTTACTTTGTACAGCTGTAGATCGACTGTATTATCACACGGATGAGTCAGTTACTGTGTACAGCTGTAGATCCACTGTATTATCACACGGATGAGTCAGTTACTGTGTACAGCTGTAGATCCACTTTATTATCACACGGATCAGTCAGTTACTGTGTACAGCTGTAGATCCACTGTATTATCACACGGTGGGTCACATACTGTGTACAGCTGTAGATCCACTGCATTATCACACGGATCAGTCAGTTACTGTGTAAAGCTCTAGATCCACTGTATTATCACACGGATCAGTCAGTTACTGTGTAAAGCTCTAGATCCACTGTATTATCATCACACAGATCAGTCAGTAACTGTGTACAGCTCTAGATCCACTGTATTATCACATGGATCAATCAGTTACTGTGTACAGCTCTAGATCCACTGTATTATCACACAGATCAGTCAGTTACTGTGTACAGCTGTAGATCCACTGTATTATCACACGGATCAGTCAGTTACTGTGTACAGCTGTAGATCCACTGTATTATTACACTGATGAGTCAGTTACTGTGTACAGCTCTAGATCCACTGTATTATCACACGGATCAGTCAGTTACTGTGTACAGCTCTAGATCCACTGCATTATCACACGGATCAGTCAGTTACTGTGTACAGCCCTAGATCCACTGTATTATCACACGGATCAGTCAGTTACTGTGTAAAGCTCTAGATCCACTGTATTATCACACGGATCAGTCAGTTACTGTGTAAAGCTCTAGATCCACTGTATTATCATCACACAGATCAGTCAGTAACTGTGTACAGCTCTAGATCCACTGTATTATCACATGGATCAATCAGTTACTGTGTACAGCTCTAGATCCACTGTATTATCACACAGATCAGTCAGTTACTTTGTACAGCTGTAGATCCACTGTATTATCACATGGATCAGTCAGTTACTGTGTACAGCTCTAGATCCACTGTATTATCACACAGATGAGTCAGTTACTGTGTACAGCTGTAGATCAACTGTATTATCACACGGATGAGTCAGTTACTGTGTAAAGCTCTAGATCCACTGTATTATCACACGGATCAGTCAGTTACTGTGAACAGCTGTAGATCCACTGTATTATCACACAGATGAGTCAGTTACTGTGAACAGCTGTAGATCCACTGTATTATCACACAGATGAGTCAGTTACTTTGTACAGCTGTAGATCCACTGTATTATCACACAGATGAGTCAGTTACTTTGTACAGCTCTAGATCCACTGTATTGTCACACGGATCAGTCAGTTACTGTGTACAGCTGTAGATCCACTGTATTATCACACGGATCAGTCAGTTACTGTGTACAGCTGTAGATCCACTGTATTATCACACGGATCAGTCAGTTACTGTGTACAGCTGTTGATCCACTGTATTATCACACGGATCAGTCAGTTACTGTGTACAGCTGTAGATCACTGTATTATCACACGGATCAGTCAGTTACTGTATACAGCTCTAGATCCACTGTATTATCACACGGATCAGTCAGTTACTGTGTACAGCTGTAGATCCACTGCATTATCACACGGATGAGTCAGTTACTGTGTACAGCTGTAGATCCACTGTATTATCACACGGATGAGTCAGTTACTGTGTACAGTTGTAGATCCACTGTATTATCACACGGATGAGTCAGTTACTGTGTAAAGCTCTAGATCCACTGTATTATCACACGGATCAGTCAGTTACTGTGTACAGCTGTAGATCCACTATATTATCACACGCATCAGTCAGTTACTGTGAACAGCTGTAGATCCACTGTATTATCACACGGATGAGTCAGTTACTTTGTACAGCTCTAGATCCACTGTATTATCACACGGATCAGACAGTTACTGTGTACAGCCCTAGATCCACTGTATTATCACACAGATGAGTCAGTTACTTTGTACAGCTCTAGATCCACTGTATTATCACACGGATCAGTCAGTTACTGTGTACAGTTGTAGATCCACTGTATTATCACACGGATCAGACAGTTACTGTGTACAGCTGTAGATCCACTGTATTATCACACGGATCAGTCAGTTACTGTGTACAGCTGTTGATCCACTGTATTATCACACGGATCAGTCAGTTACTGTGTACAGCTGTAGATCCCTGTATTATCACACGGATCAGTCAGTTACTGTATACAGCTGTAGATCCACTGTATTATCACACGGATCAGTCAGTTACTGTGTACAGCTGTAGATCCACTGCATTATCACACGGATCAGTCAGTTACTGTGTACAGCTCTAGATCCACTGTATTATCACACGGATCAGTCAGTTACTGTGTACGGCTGTAGATCCACTGCATTATCACACGGATGAGTCAGTTACTGTGTACGGCTGTAGATCCACTGTATTATCACACGGATGAGTCAGTTACTGTGTACAGTTGTAGATCCACTGTATTATCACACGGATCAGTCAGTTACTGTGTACAGGTCTAGATCCACTGTATTATCACACAGATTAAATACTTTTGTCATACATTCTTTTATGAATTAAAGAAATAAGTTTGAGATATGAGTTGGCCACAAGACAACTAACTACTGAGAAATGCCACTTTTGTATCAAGTAATAAATTTAACTAATCAAGTCCTGTAAGGTCCAAAATATCAGGTGTGTGAGACTTTTGGTTTTTGACAAAATGATGCAACATTTAACATTTTGCAAGACACGTTGCTGTATATCTGCAGTGTTACCATGGTTACTTGATGACAGTAATTTGTGAGCCTCTATTATTGGAAGAGTGAAATGGGACAGTAATAAGTCGGGATGAAATCTTGAATCTTTTCGCTATCTGATCTACCAGGTCGTTTTCTATAGCACTCTTTGTGAAAACAATTCAAAAATAAGAACAGCAATCTGATTGGCTATCACACTGTTATCACAAAGGGTACAATTGATGCTCTACATGGGGTGAAGTGGCGATTGAGACAAGCAAAGTTGGCATGGATGGTCAAGAGTGAAAAGTAAACTTTGACATAGACTAGTGGACATAGACTCTTGCCATGGGAAGATGTATGCGAACATGCAATACAAACCATTTTAAGTCAAGAGTTTTGCCGCACAAAGGTACAAGAATCTTCTGGGCAGGTTTTCCATTGGTCAGCTTGTCAGCATACTTCAGTAGAAGGCTGGAATGAAATGTAAAATGATTCATTGACTGAATCCTAGTGTGAATGCACCGGTGTCCAGAGGGGATGTGATGAGGGTGCAGGGGGTGGGCAGCCTCCTTTCTTTTCTCAGAAACCTGAGTGAGTGAGTGAGTGAGTATGGTTTTACGCCGCTTTTAGCAATATTCCAGTTTTATCACGGCGGGGGACACCAGAAATGGGCTTCACACAATGTACCCATGTCGGGAATCGAACCCAGGTCTTCGGCATGACGAGCAAACGCTTTAACCACTAGGCTACCCGACCGCCCCCTCAGAAACCTGACAGATTCAGTGTTTAAAATAATTTTAAAACCCATCAAGACAGTCGGGCAGGTGACCCATAAATGTTGCTGCCCATCTTCAAGATTACCTACCCGGGTTCAGACACTACAAATATTGAAAATCACAAAAATTAAGAGACACATTGTGTCTTGATTCAGTTGAAACAATGCAAACAACTAATTGAGAATCTATGAGTAGTAGAAATAAAACTGAATACGCCAGTAGCCTTAAAATTATCTGCCAGACAGTTGGGCAGGTGGAGGACAATCACATTTTTTCCCAGAAAATACGCAAATCAAAATTAAACTTTGCACTGCACCTCTTCTATTACTAATAACTAGTATGGCAACTACTCCTAAGTTTGAAAAGAATCCATGCAGTAGTATTCTAGTAATAGGTCGCACTATTGTTTCAGTTCTAAGTGTTAAACAGCTGTATTTTTCCAGAAAATCCAAATATTGAAACCAAACTTCGCACTGCACCTCTCTTATAGGTATAAAACATGTTCACCAACCAGCGTGTTTCTTCAACCAGCCCAAACAAATATCTTCTCCCCCAGAGTAAAAGTAATTACAACTCACGGGTGCACATAGTCCTTGTGAAAACCAATTTGTCCAGTTTTCCAGTATTTCTCAGACCAGTCGTTGACATCCAGCACAGTGTAGTGGGAAGACTCCGTACCCTCTGTGTTAGGTGAAGTGTCAGTCATCTGCAATACAAGTCAAACTTCCAATTCAATGTGACAGCTTAAAAGTGATATAGTTATAGTGATATAGATCAACCACATTTACTACATATCACCGTCTATATGACCCTACCAGTAATGAAACCCACCTGCAGAAACCTCAAAATCAATGTTAATTTATATATATACAAGGGCTGCAACGAATACACTATGAGGCGATTACGATACATATAACGAATAATGGGTAACGAATATATATTCACGAATACAACAAGTAAGCAGTTGATGTATTATTTATTATATTCAGTGAAACAATAAAATAAACTAATTGACCATGGTTTGACCATTTATTGAGGTATGATAAATGATTAATGTCGGATTAACGAATTTGTCGGACAAACAAAATTAAGTAGCGTCAACAATTGTTATCGAAAATCGGACAAATACACGATAGATAATACATAAACATTGTAATAAAATAATAAACAAGAGTCATCAGAGAGATGACATATCCCCTAGGCAGCTGTCTGTAAAGTAACCACAAGTAAATGTGCAATTCTGTATGTAATGAGTCAAGAATGTTCTTTAAGAAGCATACATTGTTTATCAACAAAAGATCCACCATGGTGGCATCCATATGAAATGGAAAGTAAAACGTGTGTTTCTGTGGGTTTTTTTTATGCAAACAAATGACAAATTACAAGAAACAAGCGTATAGTCAACGGTCATCTATATCCCCCACCCATTTTAACACGTTATGGTCCCAAACCAGGTAACTGACCCAACATTTCTCTTAGCCCATGTCAAAATAGCTGCAATGGAAATTCTAAAATAAACATTTCTAAAACTCCTTAATATCAAATGGCACCTGTTCAGTATGTACTTTATATATGGACATGCAATGTTTGGCAAGGAAATATTTAACAGTTTATTTGTTATACTCCATAAGTGAACCAACCCTATACGAAAACTTAAATCCAACTTTTTGCCATGGAAACGTAAAAAATAAAACAATAAAAATTCCTAAATAGCAAAAGGCACCAGTTCAGTATGTGCCTAGTAGCCATTAAAAGTTTTGTAAGAACGTATTTAACGGTTTTTGAGTTACGCTCCGGAAACGAACACCACCCTTATAGAACCTAAGTCCAACTTGTTACCATGGAAACATAAAAAATAAAAATTTCTAAAATTCCTAAATAGCAAAAGGCACCAGTTCAGCATGAGTCTGATAGACATGCAAAGTTTTGTAAGAAAGTTTTGAATAGGTTTTGAGTTATGCTCCGGAAACGAACCCTACCCTATAGAACCTAAGTCCAACTAGTTGCCATGGAAACGTAAAAAATAAATAAAACATTTTTTCCTAAATAGCAAAAGGCACCATTTCAGAACGTATTTAACGGTTTTTGAGTTACGCTCCGGAAACGAACACCACCCTTATAGAACCTAAGTTCAACTTGTTACCATGGAAACGTAAAAAATAAAAATTTCTAAAATTTCTCAATAGCAAAAGGCACAACTTTAGTATGTGACTGATAGATATGCCAAGTTTCGATCAAATACACTGAATTATTTTCGACTTCTGCCCCGGAAAAGGAAATGATTACGGAAAGGACGGACAGACAGACAGACTTGCTGATCGCTATATCCCCCCGCATTATAATTTATATGCCGGGGGGATAAAAAGGAAATACTCATACTGTTATGATGTATTGTATATGGACAAAACACAAAGGCCTAATCCCCAGTAAAAAACCACAAAGGCCTCATCCAGGTCAAAACTTAAAAAGTGAAAAAACCCAGAACACACAATCATGTTGAGTGAGTGAGTGAGTTTGGTTTTATGCCGCTTTTAGCAATATTGTAGCAATATCTCGGCGGAGGACACCAGAAATAGACTTAACACATTGTACCCATGTCGGGAATCGAACCCAGGTCTTCGGCGCTGCGAACTAACACTTTAACATGTTTAACCACCAGGCTACTAGACCGCCCATCATGTTGAGTGTTAAGTATACACATGATAGGTCTTGTTATACTTTTAGAGGCCCACAGCAGCCACATCAAAAGCAGATTCAAACTTCTTAAACAAAATTAATAGGTGTGTTTATTATGTTTATTAGTGGGAACAATTGAAACATGGTCCAGAGCTTTCTGAAGAAGATATTTGTAACATGAGGGAATTCATTTGAGAGAACTTTGGAGAATAGTATTAAATTAAATTATTTGGGGTAAAGTGGAAGACGTGTATATGTGATGGCTGAAGTTTAATCTTCATCGGCCAGTGGTTTCTGAGGAGATGAGGGTCAGGGGCCGACCATGTTATATTCGGGAGGGGTTTGGGAATTTACATAAAAAACAAACTGTCCCTGAAAATTCTTGAAAAAATTAGTTATGCTGTTGAGCGAAGAAAGAAACTGCCTGCCACAAAAATTACATTGTGGCACATGTTGCAAGGTGTTTTTCTTTTTTTAAAAATCAGGCTCGTAGTTTTGACAATAAAATATCTGGTATTGTAGGTGTAGCTGAAACATATCTTATCTTCATCACTGTTGATACAAAATGCTAGCCCCGCCACTAGGAGAACAAATGGTCAGTCACTTACAAAGCCTAGGAGGCACTTCAAGAGAATTGAGAGCATGGTAAAATCCTTGTCAAACAATTAATGAAAAGATTGTATGACTTTCACTCATCCACAAAGTTCATGACTTTTTATTGTTGTTGTTGGTTTGTTGTTAACGCCGCACTCAGCAATATTTTAGCTATATGATGGCGGTCTGTAAATAATCAAGTCTGGACCAGACAATCCAGTGATTGATATCATGAGCATCGATCCATGCAATTGGGATCGATGACATGCATCAACCAAGTCAGCGAGCCTGACCACCCGATCCTGTTAGTCGCCTTTTACAACAAGCATAGTCACCTTTTATGGCAAGCATGGGTTGCTGAGGACTAATCCTTCCCAGAAACTTCAGGTGTCTCATGACTTTTTAAACAATATTGGTCCAGTAAGGGCTGCAGAGCATTTCTCATTACTGCAGCAGCTACATTGAAAATCTAATCAGAACCTCCCGAACATATTGCATAGGTTGTCATAATTATAGCCCTCGCCATCAGAATCACGCAAATAGAATCACAAGATCACCATGATTAGGCTAATGGAAAGTAATGAAGATAGCTGCATGTGAGCTTATACTTATTAAGTGAAAACAAGTCAAGCTGTTGTAAAATAATATTACTTACAACAACAAAAAAGTTTGACAAAAAAATGCAAAGTATGCTTTTCAATAAATATCTATTTTGCCAGTGATATACATCCTCAGTCCGATTGTAACCACGAGATAAAAACACAAGGATGATAGTATAAACTAAGAAACTTGTTTTTCTAGTTCATAAAGCTTACATTTCACTGGTCCGTTTTGATCGGAGGGTGAGAAAGTTGCCGTGGTGGCGAAATCGGCTGATCCGATTCGACTGGTATCCCGCTATATTGACAACAAGAAAACATTGATGCAGAGCATCAAAGTTCCCCGCCATATGTGATGCCTCACAAACGCATAATTATGATGTTACTGAAAGGCATGAAGGAGCATAATTATATAAACCACAAATAACACAACGCTGTTGTGAGTATTGGGCAATACAGTTGATACATTTGCATAGGGTAGGTCTATTTAAAAATAGTTTCTTGTTTAACGCCCCACTAAGCAGTATTCCAGCCATATGATGGCGGTCTGTAAATAATCAAGTCTGGACCAGATCATCCAGTGATTGACACCAAGAGCATCGAGCTACGCAATTGCAATATGATGTTAGATGTGGAAATAGTATCAAAACTGCCAACAACATTGGCAGATGCACATACTCAAATAATAGATCACATTCTTTTTACACTTGGCATTTGGTTATAATAATGTAAATGAAAATACTAAGGTCTCAATATTGCAAAAAAGTCATACTAGATGAGGTCTATTGGTCACAACTCAAAATATTATCACGTAGTTGGAGAACATTTCAGTACAGGGACTAATCAATAACGGAGATTCCTCGTCTCTTGTTTTACGTTTTTTGGTCAGTTTCCTTTTTTGTATTTCTTTCTTTCAAAGAATAGTAATTGTGATCATGATGAGTTGAGTTACTTGGTTTTTTTCTATGTATTGTTTTTTATCCAGTGCCAGTAACTGTTGTGGAATGTGGTTTACTTGTAACAATGACTAGTTTGAGTTCATATGATGGTGATTGATTGGTTTGTTGTTTAACGCCGCACTCAGCAATATTCCAGCTATATGATGGCGTTCTGTAAATAATCGAGTCTGGACCAGACAATCCAGTGCCTAATATCATGAGCATCGATCCACGCAATTGGTATCGATTCCATGCATCAACCAAAGCCTGGCCATCCGATCCCGTTTGTCGCCTCTTACGAGAAGCATTCCTGACCCAAACCATTCCGCTGATGAGAATAAAAAAATGCATACGAATCAAAATCCGTAAAAATTGCAATGGAGACATCATTAAAAGTTACCAAAAGTGACGGGGATATCAATATTGCTTTTTGAAATGATTCTATGAAATTTGTTTTCCCTGCTTCAATATTTGGAGCACCCGTGACGGAGCCATAAAATTGATTGTGACCTAAATACCCCTCATAGCCTTCGGTGTTAACTATGTGACTGTAGAGAGCTGTGCCTTCATCCAACAGATTATCGAGGTCAGTGGAACACGGTACAGACGCAAATAGATTTGAGCCATGGGACACAAAATATATGAGTGACCTATGTATGGTCACTCATATATTTTGTGTCCCATGGCTCAAATCTATTTGCGTCTGTACCGTGTTCCACTGACCTCGATAATCTGTTGGATGAAGGCACAGCTCTCTACAGTCACATAGTTAACACCGAAGGCTATGAGGGGTATTTAGAGCTACGGCTGTAAATTGAATTCCATTAAACGGTTGAAAAATACTACAGCCTAGATGCAAATTCGCCGACACACTACTCCGATTTTGCTTTGACTTTGCTACCAAACGTTTCACATGTGGCTATGTGCGGTGCACTGATTAAAAAAAACCGGGGGACTGGTTTAATTCAAAATACGGAATATAACTATTCCAAATATTTCCAGTGAACATGAGCATCCAAACAATCAAAAGTGTGGTATGTAGAATGTTGAATTCAGCCATATTACATTTAAATTGAGATGTCGTCGTTGTTCATGAATAAGCATATTCAGAACATATTTTTTTATTATGCTGTTATTTACGATCTCCGGAGCACAGTTCTTCTTTTGTATACACCGTGAAAATCAGAAAATTAGTCCTTGGGGAAAAAAGGACATCGGATTACACATGAATGGTTATATAATGTCAGCTAATGACCAGAAACGGTCAGATGCATCAATCAACTACATTAAGACGATTTTGAAGCATCTCTTATGGTGGAAAAGAACAGCATCAACATTCCACGCCCATGATTTGTATGTTTTGTTTCCGTAAATGCGTGGCTTGAAATTTCAAATAAACCAACATGTCGACATCCATGCTACAAATTTAACGTTTCCTGTATACTTCCCCGCCTTAAGGTCGGGGAAGAATAAAGCTATAGTTCGTTCGTTCGTTTATCGGAGATCTAACGTGCGCTTTCCGCGTGTAATAATCAGCTGATAATAGGGCCTAACACTTTAGCGTATCTCGCACACGGGAAGCTAGTCGGACGTCCTCTGTTTATATAGCAACTACATAAGCCACGAACCACTAAACCAGTGCAGCCTGTCATGATGAGACAATATTTGTAGATTCTGAGATTATAAGTAAAAAAATCAATAAAAAAAATCAAACAAAATCGTCTAGACCCTAGATCTAGATCTAAATACGCCATAAAAATAAGAAATAATATACCTAAACTTACCTTATATAAGAGGTTAGAATTACGGAAATGTCTGGTATTGGCGCCAATAATTTTACAAGTTGTCTTTGAAACAAATTTGGAGATGCACCTCAGCATATCAAGACATGAAAATATATGTCAACACCCTTGTTCCTGATTTGGCAAGGTAAGTGACACTGTGTACTCGCCGGACCATTCAGCAGTTGTTCCAGTTGTGATGCGCTATGGTCATTAATACACGATCGTCACAGCTTTCCTCGCTATGTGAAATAAAACAACTGATTTGCGCAACCACGATCGAATAACACCTTTGGTGAATTGCATAAACACAGTTTTAACCAAGAGTAACTTCCCTTGCCCCAGCGCCACCTACTTCCTTCTACTCAAGCATTGCGAGCAGACGACGAGTTAATTCATTTTTAAGTTTTGAGTGTCCCTAGTGCAGACTCGTACAGGAAGGCCAGCTATCCGCAAAATAATGTTGGAAAAAAGTAAAAGAAGTTGATCGGGTGCACGGATGGCGGAAATTATGGACGATCCGAAGTCGCCAGTGTCACCGACAGAGTGAAAAGCGCGAAAGGCGGATAAGGTGGATATGCCACCCATGCCAGGTTCGCTAAAAACGGATGGTCATAGGTCAAGAAACCCATGCTTGTCCTAACAGGTAACAAAGCTTGCAAGAGGACCCGTGAAGATCCGGGGTAGAATAGTTCTTCAGCAACCCATGATTGTCGTAAAAGGCGGCTATGCTTGTCGTGAGAGGCAGCGACTAACGGGATCGGGTGGTCAGGCTCGCTGACTTGGTTGATGCATGTTATCGTATCCCATTTGTGTGGATCGATGCTCATGTTATCAATCACTGGATCGTCTGGTCCAGACTCGACTATTTACAGACTGTCGTAGCTGGAATATTGTGCGGCGTTAAATAACAATCAAACAAGCTTGCAAGAGGCGACTAACGGGATCAGGTGGACAGGCTCGATGACTTGGCTGATACATAGCATCGCATCCCAATTGCGTAGGTAGATGCTCATGATGTCAATCACTGGATTGTCTTACCCAGAATCGATTATTTACAAACTGCCGTCACAAAGCTGGAATATTGTGCGGCGTTAAACAACAAACAAACATACAAACGAGTTATGTCCCTCCTATTGACTAATCAGATTCCACCTCCCATATCACTTGCATTTGCTTAAAAATGCGATCTGATCGATATTCAAGATCTTTCCGCGCTAAGTGCAAGAAATCATCACTTGAGCGCCGTGATAAAAATCATGAAAAGATTTAGAAAATATCTGTCCACGCCCATTTGACGGTACACATGCTCTGCAAATCCTGCAATTGACCGAAACATGCACGACCGGCGCCATGTTGTTTATGAACCGAATGTCGAGTTCGTTAAGGGATTTCTTATGGGCTATACATAGACTGGGTAGTCCAGCCAAAATATCAAAATATAGCTCCATAATTCTAGCCTAGTTCGGCAATGATGGAAACTGGACTTCTATAGTCAGTTAATACCCTTGTCTAGGGAAGATGACGATGTAATCCGACAGTCAAGACGTGTTTTGACTGCCGGACCCATCGCGGCTCCCGGTTAATTCGCCACAAGACCTATACCGTGTACAGAAATATGCCAATGAACATTTATGACATTCATCAAAGTTAACATTTCCGTGAAGAAAAGTATGTAATACAGTAGCTGTCAGTCGAAATTTCGTTACTCTATATTGATGACGCATTTGAAATCTTGCCTGTCCGCAATTTTGTCGCTCGCTTTAGTTCAAGAAAAAGTGATAGTTCACCATTTTAACAGAAACAAACTAATTAGGTGTTGCAGGTGCTTTCGCTTTCGCGAGAAGAGGTACGCGCGTTCAATACAAATGGCTTTGTTTGCAAGGAATAAGGTTTTTTGTTTTCGTTTGAACTTCGCACAGCGAAATTCTCACACGATATTAAAGTTAATGTTTTCTTCCTTCAACTGCGATAGATAGGAAGGCCTGATTTAATAGCTCGAAGACCCGACCATCGCCACGAGCTTGGACAGAGGGCAGGGTCGTTGGAAGGACATTTTCTTTCAAAATCTCACGTTCACAAGATCCCCTGGGACTACATTAACCAGTATGTTAATCATTTGGATCTTTTCAGGGGCGTAGGATTAGCCTCATGGTAAATGCGTTCGCTCGTCACGCCAAAGGCCGGGTTCGATTCCCCAAATGGGTACAATGTGTGAAGCCCATTTCTAGTGTCCCTCGTCGTGATTATTGCTGGAATATCGATAAAAGTGGCGACACCATACTTATATGGGTCATTTCGATAAAATCAACAACTTTCGGGCGAAGGACACGTAAAATCATTCGTTAAACGTCAGCTCTGTACAGCTAGTCTTGAATACAAACAGATGTTTTGTACTTACTACTTTCAACGTTCAGTAATTACATCTTCATATTCTTATCAATCCTTCCAAACAATAGAACTGGACGAACTGGACTGTTTCCTTCTATGTTGATTTCATAATCGTCACTATTTTCCTTTCAAATCGAAATATTTTTAATATTCACTTGTAAAAATGAAACTTATCTAACTTGTATGAGAAGTGAACAACACTATGCACAGCATAGGCGCTGAGCCTCCTGTTTACATATTGCTGACGCAAACCGCAGCATATTTGCCTTCATGATTCAATAGTGAAAATGAGATCGAGATTGGCTGAGTTTAAAAAATATTTCTGTCCGAGTCATCAGGTGGACATCGCTATCTTAACGAAAGGCCGATATGATATCATACCACCGTTTCTTCATGGATTATGTATTCATGACGAAATTACCCTGAATTGTGTACATTCAAATTGATACCGCAATCCATTATGCGACAGTGCCGACAGCATTGTATAAATTAGCAGCCGCTACGTCCACTGCCCCTATACTTCATGACATCATAAAGCTTTATAAAACAATAACAAATATACGTTATTTATCACGAGAAGCGTCTGCACCAGGCTTATCACTACACGTTGTCTTTGTAAGCATGTATCGCGACGTCATGACACGTTTCGATACCTTGACTGTCGTATAGTAATTGAATGAATGCCCTCAATAAAAGGGCTATTCGCACATTGCCACTGCTGTGTACGTGTCATGGGGTGTAATTCGTTTTCTGTAATTTCGTTGCCGGTTCAACAATTATATGCACCCGATTCGTACTTTTGTATGTAAGTACGGCCTGTCCGTGTATTGGCATTGCTATGCCTTTGCCTGTATGACAATGAAATAAGAAACTGCGAGTAAATGGTCTTGAATGACTCCCGAGAATGTCTTCGTCTTCTTTTCATGGACAATAAAAAAACATCAAAACGCAAGAGCATAACATAAAACCCAGACCATATCTACCTTGTTGTTCCTGTGTTGATCGGTACTTTATTATCACATGACCAACACCCACAGCAGACCGCCGTCACATAGCTGAGATATTGCTGAGTGCGGCGTTAAGCAACCAACCAACCTACCGGGAAACCAAAATAACAGTTGTCCTCAGAACAGTATGGTGTACGGTATGAGTTTGGTGTAAGATTGTGAAATCAGTTGCCTCATTGCTGCAAGCGAGTACACGACATCCGTCCACACACAAACTGTATTCACCTATGCATGACCCTCAAATGAATTCATGAATCAAGCCGTGAACATTATTGTTGCAGAATGTACTCGTTTTGACCACGGGCCTAAATATTATAGGTCCCTTATTTGATATAGAATACCAAATGGATTATGTTTTGCTACATACATTATACGTATTGTCTTCATCTGCACTAATAGTACGATCGTCAAGTCTGGAAAGGTCCTTAAATATTAACAAGCTATATGACCAAGTGCACGCAGTGCCCTCAGATCACTCATCGATATCCTATCAATATCAGTTTTTGCCAAAATAAAAACATCAAAATAGTCTCATCTACGCAAACAATTGTTTTCAATTTAAGAAATTATATAATTTCGTCTCCCTAGAACCTTGTCGAAGAATATGGATAAGTATGGTAATGTCGTCGAAGTATGCACCTGATTGACCAGGTGACAATGAAATATCATGTTTTTTTGACAAGGTAAAGTATAAACGTTTTGAACCCCAACGGTGATGTCCGTTGTCAAACAGTCGATTTTAAGGGATAGTTTTGGCCGCGCTACCGGCAGTGTTTTAGTTATCTGGTAGACATAGGTTTAGTTAATTTATGTATGAGTCACATACTTGAAATTTGGTTGTGTCGATGTTGCAGTTGAGATCAAAAGATTGTTTTATACTTAATCTGTGGTATTTACCTTTCACTTTTTCTGTCCGCGTGTTGACAGCTTTTAATAAACGTACAGTTTGGTCCCGTCTTGTTATGGATGAGATATAAATTCAACTGTGTCGCCGACTCCACATGGGCTTTTAACGCAAAAAGCACCTACAGCGGTAGAAACTAACAGTTTTACTCCACTAGTCCTTATTATGATAACATGTAGCAAAACCTGTAAAATGGCAAATTTCTACTAGTCCTTATGATACCTTAACTATTGGGCAGTTTGGCAAGGACTACAGGACTAGTGCCAATTTCTAACACTGACCTACAAGATATATGGTCATATCTAGTGTCAGTAAACTATACTTAGTATGTGACCATATATATTGTAGCTGCTATTTACAAGTCCCTGTGACCCACTCTGCTATGGTACGTAATGAACCTATACATGTACATTGTGGTGAGTGATTATTGCATCAGCATTCTACCAGCTATTCGCGGCGGTGAGTCATATGTCGGTTACCAGGACAAGTTTTCTTTGGCGATATTTGAAATTTAGAATGGAAAAGAATGTATATCCACCGCCTCACTGTTGTACGGAACTATTTATTCTAAATTCGATTGATGCATCGACCTGAAATTAACATGATACTATTTCAGGGGTATGTAGGTTGTTTAAGAAATTAAGGCAATCGCTAATCCCACACTTTTCTCTAAAACGCCGTAAAATGCTAGACTAAGTACTTGACAGAACAGAGGAGCGCTCTTTAAGACCCTCACGTAGTTGTCTCCCTTGTACCAGCGGTTTCTTCGCGAGAGCATTTTAAAAACTGAAACAACTACGGATTCATTTTGAAGAGTCGTAAAATCTCTCCTTACTTGATGGTAATGTTCATAGTTGAGCATGTTAATTTTTTGTAAATTCGTGATGACAAAGGCACCATGTTTAAACATGAATTTAATAATTACATAGGGCATGTGTAGTTCCTATGTAACGTAGTAGTCAACCTGTGTCATAATTGCTTTGGCTTAAGTCAAAACAACGTCAACGTAACCAGATTTTGGTG